TTTTGATTATCTTATCTCAATCTCATATGTTGGTTTGTTTATATGAAATTAGACAAGATAATATTTCATTTCATAACAGCCATTGGTTTATTTCTCTGATTGACACATTCTCTTAAGTCAAACAAGATTTTCATTTCATAACAATCATTGGATTGGATTATCTTATCACAATTTAGTTATGTTATTTGTTTATATTTTCGGTTTAGGTGTCTAAACTACCAATGTTAAATTTCATCAAATTTTTTTTATATGAAATTTTCAATCCAAGAAATTAAACACAAAGCACAACATTTTTTTTCTAATCAATAACACAAACAATAGTCATTGTTTGTATATGTTTTCTTAATCAAACAAACAGTTGAAAATAAACTCTTAAAATCCTAAAGGGTTGAAAAATCAACCCTTAAAATCATGTTTTGGAATTAAAAATGGAGCTCACCAATTTCTAAACTAGAAAAACAAAAACAAAAATTAAGACTAGGCCCTCAATTTGGTGTGGTCCTTCTACTTTTTGGGGCTAGATGTAGCCTAATTTCTTACTACTCAAGGATTGAAGTTGCTAGCCCTTGTGGTGGACGTAGCCCCAATTTCAGACCCATTAGGGATGAAATTTTCGTTAGAGCTACAAAAATGAGCCTCAAGGAGGATAAAGCCCCCATTGGGGATGCTCTTATGGCTTAGAATCACATACATACAACGATTGTCCTTCCTTAGTGGTCAACTTTCAAGTTCTCACCTTCATTATTTTTTATTTTTGTTTTTGTTTTTGTTTTTGAACAAACGATAATATTATCTATCTTAGAATGGAGGGGTTGGGCTTAACTTCACAATGGGTAATCAATAATTTTGTTCAAATTCGCATTTGGCGAAAATCGAATTTAAGACCTCTCACTTACAAGTAAAGAGAAATACCATTAAACAGTAGTACTAAGTGGCACCACTTTCATTTTTTTTTTTAAACAAACGATATTATTTACAATAAGGAGAGAGAGTGGGCTTAGCCTCACAATGGACTAGCAATAATGTAGTTCATATTCACCATTGATAAGAATCGAACCTAAGACCTCTCACTTACAAGTGAAGAGGAATACCATTAAACCGTAGTATTAAGTGACTTGAGAGAGTCTTCTTAGAACATCTTTGAAGGAGATGTCAAATTTTAAGACCGGTGCTTTGAGTAAATTTTTAAGACTTTTAAATATTTTTTTAAAGAACGATGCTTTAATTTTTTTTTTTACTATGCGATAGAGTATCGGAGGGTAATAACATGATCTTCCAATAATTTTTCCTTTTTTTTTTGTTCGAACTGGAAATATGCATTACCATGGTCTTCCAATAATTTTTCCTTCGGCAGCTGCATTTATTTGTCAAAGGTCTCGAAAAAGATCTCGACCACGTAAACAACAGTAATTCTATTTTCGACAAAAGAATCTTGTTCTATTTCACTAATTAATTGTACCCTTGCTTATATAATCCAAAAAAACTCAAACCTTTAGCTGTATCTCGCTCTCCATATACTATCACTCTCTCCTTTTCTGCATAACAAAATGAACCGTTTTATTGCAAAGAAAATCCAACTCCTTAATGCTCTGATAATCAGTTCAGTCAATCGTGATCATCTCGATGGTGAACCAGACCTGGAAGCCGCAGTGCCACAAGTTCCAGATCGGAGGAAGTACGAGAAGTTCCCAACCAACAACTTAGATTGGGCAAAGATAATGGTTGGGTTTTGCTTGACAGCAGCGATGGGACTGGCATTTATCCGCTTCCAAATTCCTCCCAGCCAACTCCCTCTTCCTGTGATCTTTAACTTTCTTGGACTATCAGTTTTACTTGCCTTCACTTGTATCTTGGTGAGCAAATCCATTCATTTCAGCTACTCTCTCGCCGGAATATCAATAGCCGACCTTTCTCATCATTTTGGCCTCTTCTTTGGGGTTACAGCCTTCTTCATATCAATCACCATCCCATTTCCTTTGTGGTTCAAATGTGTTGCCTCTTCTATCTACGTCGCCGCCATCATCCTTGTAGTTTTCTGCAATCTTCACTTCAATAACTATTACAAACCTCGTGGTGTTGGGTACCCTACCCCAAACAATTCAATTCCTACAACCGCCATTGATCCTGCGGTAGAATCAAGCCGAGGTGGTGCTAGTACTGTTGATGATCAAGCATGCCCTAGCCGTACTGCTTGACTTGAAAGAACTCTCTCATATAACAAGGATGCATCTACATACATACATACATACATACATACATACATATATATATATATACATATATATATATATATACATATATATATATATATATATTCGTCTTCCCCGATGTTCAAACGCACCAACCAAAGCTTGGGACTTGTTTCTGGGTCCAAAAGGAGTGGATTGATGGTAGTGGTCGCCGGTGAAGGCTGCAAAATGGGCGAATCGCCGTCCGTGGTACTCTCGGAGCCGTCGTGGGTGTTCGTCAAATCACGACCAAAAACCCTCAAGTTTGGGTGGGAGTGGAAGTTGAGACGACACTGAGTTAATTGGTGGTGTCGGGTTCAAAAACCCGTCGTCGGAAAAGCTGCAGGGAAACCGGGTCACGATGGAGGAGTCGGGTCAGGTCGGGGCGAAGGATTCGGTACATCTCTTCCTCTCCTTTTCCCTCCTTTCCCCTCCTTTCTCTCCTCTCTGATTAGGTGTCCCCCCTCCTTTCTCTCCTTTCTCATCTTTCTCATCCGTCCATCTGGTGACAAAATATGTACAACTACTGTAAATGGGGATCTCATATATTTGTTGTGAGTTTCAATATCGAAGTGTAATTTTGTTGTTTGGGCTTTAGTTGTCTGCAGCCTATCACTACCGCTATGTTGTATCAATCGTATTTAATCCATGTATTATTTCTATATATTTCACTTTTTTTTAGCGAAAGTAATTGCGTAAACCTTTGATTGTCTATAACATCGTGATGTAATTTAACTATTCAATGTCAAATTGAAAGGGTTAAATGCTCGTTTGGGAATACTTTTTAAATAACTGAAAACATTCTTAGTGGAAAAATGTTTTTGAAACTATTTTTTTAGTAAAAATCTAAGTGGATCCAGAAAAAACACTTTAATGCTTTTGATCAAAATCAATTTTACTAAAAGTACTTTCAATTATTTTAAAAACACTTTCAAATTATCATTAATTTTTTTAAATATTTAGTCAAACACATGAGAACAAAAAGTTAAGGGAAGTCCATAATTGTGATTTGGGCGGGTTGTTGTGTTGTTTGGGTTGAGACTTGAGAGTGAAGCCCAAATTAGGCATTGGGTTATTTATACATGTGTATGTAAACATTTTGATTTTTATGTAACAACTATAATACAAGTGGCTTTATATATCTATATATTCGATACTACTAGCATTATTGAGAGAAGTCTTTTTGTAAGGCAATAAAAACATAATTTTACAAGTCCAAATAAAAAATCTCCATATAAAAAAGGTATGGAAACAAAAATTCAAAAACCAAAATAAGTAAATGACACGAAAATAAGCAAAAATAGCATGGAAATCATTATTTTCTCCAAGTAAAACCACTTTCATAAATGAAAAAGATAAAGAATCCACGTACCTCTAAGTTGTCAGTAGGCAAAAACAATTAGTACACTTACACGAAATTAATTTCTGTTTTTGAGTTATAATATTATAAAATAAAAATAAATACTTCGATCATCATGCATGTGGACTTCTCGTCAACTACTAGTAATATGTAATATAACATCATATAATATCCACGAAATTAATACGTTGTCTCTCTTATTACAAATTTCTATTAATTCTCAACAAATTTTCTATTAATTCTAAAAAAAAGCCCCTATCGCCCATTTCTCTCTCTTTCCTCCCCCTTTTTTTTCTCTAAAGATCCACCGTCTTCTCCGGCTATTCCGTCTCTCCCCGCCGTTAGCAGAATGGTGTGCAAGCGGAAGTCGAAGGCCAAAACTTCAGGTTCTCCGCCGAAATCGAAGAACCAAAGGCAAACCAAGAAGGTGAGAGTTGAGGGCGAGGTAGCCACGAGTGTTGAAAAAGCTACTTCTCCGCCGAAATCAAAGAAGACAAGGCAAACCAAGAAGGAGAGAGTTGAAGAGGTAGCAACGAGTGTGGAAAAATCTACTTCTCCGCCAAAATCGAAGAACCTAAGGCAAACCAGAAAGGCGAGAGTTGAAGAGGATGTAGCTACGAGTGTCGAAAAAGTTGCTTCTTCCCCGAAATCGAAGAAGATGAGGCAAACCAAGGAGGGAGGAGTTGAAGAGGATGTAGCTACGAGTGTCGAAAAAGCTGCTTCTCCGCCGAAATCGAAGAAGACGAGGCAAACCAAGGAGGGAGGAATTGAAGAGGAGGTTGCGATGAGTGGAAAAAACTGCTTCTTCGCCCACATTGAAGAAGCTGAGGCAAACCAAAAATGCGAGAGTTGCAGAGGAGGTAGCAACGAGTGTGGAAAAATCTGCTTCTTCTCCGAAATTGAAGAATCCAAGGGAAATAAAAAATGCCAGAGTTGAGGAGGAGGTGGCGACCAGTGTGGAAAAAGCTGCTTCTCTGACGAAATTGAAGAAACCGAGGCAAACCAATAAGGCGAGACTAGCAGAGTCGGTCCTAGATTTCAAGAGCCTTGTGCGAAAGTGAATTGAAGATCCTAAAAAGTACTAAGAATTTTATTTTTTTATTTATTTTTGTTCAAAATAATAATTTTAGTTTTCAATTGAGTTTCTATAAATTTTAATAGCACAAACAAATTTAACAAATCAACAAGTGGAAAGGTGAGTTTCGAACCCATTCCCTAAGCCGATGTAAAGAAGCAAAAATTCCGCTTGCCCTAAGACTCAAGTTTGTAATATTCTACACATACTAATATATATACGTAAATGCATGCAAAATTGAAAAATTGAGGGCCTTTCTGATTTGGGGACCCTGTGCAGTAGCACCACTTACACCCCTCAACACCGGCCCTGGGCGAGAGTTGAAGAGGAGGTAGCAATGAGTGTGGAAAACGCTGCTTCTCCGCCGAGGAAGCCAGTGACTCAGGAGGAATCGAGGATTATTGGCAAACTGATGGAAGATGAGGAGGCTCGTAAGCAATACCCCAAGAGATATGTGGGAGAGGTGAGAGATTTTTGTTTCAAGATTTATTTTATTTTTTTAATTTAGTTTGTATTTTGTGAAACTGTTGGTGATTTAGGGGTTATAGATGATCAAGTACTGTGAACTTGAAGGATTAGTGGTACATGATAAGACAAATAAATGGGTTTTAGAATATTTGTATGTCCAAGCGTTAATGTAGTTATACCATTTGTGGTAGGATTAATACTTTACTCATTTTCTAAATTCGTATGATTTTTATCTCTCGGTGTTGTCTAATATGGTATCGAAGCTTTGGTTTCAAGAATTTTTGACCAATTTTCTGCTTATCTCCATGATTGTTGGAATCCCCAAATTATATGATTCCTGACATGCCAATTCATTGCAAATTTCACATAAATGGTTCTTTTCCACAATATAAGGGTTACATTTATATAATTTGACGTGCTATATTTCAAAGTAGAAACATACTCAACTGAAATTTTGGTTGTAGTGAGTGATTCATGTGCAGAACGTTTTTATGTACTTTTGTTTTTATTTGCTATTATGTGATTTGACAATGTTTCCCGTTCATTTTTATGTTCAGGGAGAGACGAAAGAAGAACCCTACATTTGCAAGATTGTGGAAATGTTTCATGTGAACACAATTCAACTTTGCCAATATTAATTTCATCCGTCATCCTACTTTTTAAGTGGTTTCCAATTGGTTTGTGCATGTTTTGCATCATTCATTTTCCCAATATTTGATCCGTCATCCTACTTTTTAAGCATCGTTACTTTGAAAACTTTTTGAAGAAAATGTTATAATATTTTATTCATCTTCGATTCTTCGGACGTCAATATAATATTTTGTCCACCATTATATTATTGTAATTAAACTAATTCCCTCTCCTATTCAATTCTGGGGTGGTCGTTGAAAATATTTCAATTTTGAGGGATCCTACATAATATCTCTTAAAACCCAAATAATTGAAACTATGTCTTTGAAAATGTTGTTAGAAATAATTAATTAATTATTGAGTTTGCTTATATTAATTACCAGGTAGGTTCCTACACCCATGGAGAGAAGTATGATGCACGATTCACTCTGCCTGCCTCCATCTCCAATGATGTCATGTATGATTCACGATTCACTCTGCCTGCACCAAGACAGTGTTTCAGAGGCTTATACGACTAAAAAGCAAAGAACGTAAGATGGTCTATCGCTTTTGAAGTTGCTGATATATGATACACCGGAATTGCAAGTGCTGGTTGAACATACTGACATCACCCTTGAATATTATTCTTTGACAGTGACCGTATTAGTTGTTAATACTACTTGACATCACCCACCGGAATGTATGATACACCGGAATTAATTCATGATATTTTCCTACACTTTGAACTTTTCACGCACTAATATTTGGTTTCGATTCATACTATTCAGAAGATTCTAGATTTACATATATCAATACGTTAATATTTTATATTAATTTTTTATATAAAGATAAAAACAAAATAAAAAATATGAAAAAAATAAAAAGTAATAGATGAAAATAGAAAGGGAAAGAATTACAGTCTATTCCATTTTGAGTTTTTCTGATCATTTATATCATCTTTTTAGTTATGCGGGTCCTAGCTCGTTTTGAAGAATGGAATGGCTCTAGCTGCAGCTAGACATTTCTTCTTTACTTTATAAGTAAGAGTTAGTAAAAAGAAAGAGTTCAGAAAAGTATTTCCGGATCATTTATATTATTTGTTTTGGAGTTTTAAAAAATACTTCAAGTATTATTCATTTTAATGAAAAATCATATTTATATCTTTCACTGGTACTATTTACCAAATCCTCGCCTAAATGCCAACACCAGATAAACACACACCTTTTATAGCTTCTTACACATCCCTGGCTAATCGTGTTCATTGTTTTCGTTTGATTTATTCAATCTGATGGCCTGGAACAAAGAGGGGTGTGGGAAAAGCTATAAAATGTGTGTGAAAATCAGCTCCCTTGAAGAATGGAATGGCTCTAGCTGCAGCTAGACATTTCTTCTTTACTTTATAAGTAAGAATTAGCAAAAAGAAAGAGTTCAGAAAAGTATTTCCGGATCATTTATATTATTTTTTTTGGAGTTTTAAAAAAATACTTCAAGTACTATTCATTTTAACGAAAAATCATATTTATACATTTCATTGGTACTATTCACCAAATCCTCGCCTAAATGCCAACACCAGATAAACACACACCTTTTATAGCTTCTTACACATCTCTGGCTAATCATGTCCGTTGTTTTCGTTTGATTTATTCAATCTGATGGCCTGGAACAAAGAGGAGTGTGGGAAAAGCTATAAAATGTGTGTGAAAATCAGCTCCCTTAAAGAATGGAATGGCTCTAGCTGCAGCTAGACTTTTCTTCTTTACTTTATAAGTAAGAATTAGCAAAAAGAAAGAGTTCAGAAAAGTATTTCCGGATCATTTATATTATTTATTTTGGAGTTTTAAAAAAACACTTCAAATACTATTCATTTTAACGAAAAATCATATTTATACCTTTCACTGGTACTATTCATTATACATTTTAAAAGAGCTTTTCATTAAAAAAAATTTTTTTTGAACTTTTCGTTAATTTTCCTTATTTTTTATCCTAGCTTGTTTTGAAGATGTGGAATGGGATCTAGCCGGTCGACCCATACTTCTCTACTCTTCCTTATTATTATTATTATTTATTTTACGTTCGAAGCCGTGGCGGTAGCACGCGTCTGGAAGATGCAATGGGATCTAAGTTTAACCGGTCCACACAGACGTCTCTTCCCTATCATTTTATTATTTATTTTTTCTTCGAAGACACGATGGCAGGACGCGTTTTTTTGCATTTTAGGATTCCTTGTTGCAGCTTCCGAAAACACACACCAGCCCAAGCTGATGCGCAATATAATCAAGTTAAATCTACATACCTAACCGTTAGCAGATGTACTATATAATTAGTCTACATAACTAACCATTTTGTCCTTTAAACTTTAATACCCATCAGTCTTATCTTCAATACCCATTAGTTTTATTTTATTCAACATGTCAAATTTGGCTTCTTACAAATTAAGCTCCTCATTCTAAATTAATAAGTGCATGGCAAAAGTATCTACCAAGTCGTAATTTCTCTATCTTTTCAAAGTTTTAATAGCACGTGATAAAAAACATACATCAATTAAATATGTCTCTATTTTTATCCATTCATGGATTCGACATTTGAAAATTACAATAAGAACAACCATTAGACATATTAATTATTTACTATACATAATTATAAGGTAAAATACAATAAAATGTACCTTAAAAAAAAACTCACAGTACGGTTCACTTTAACGAAAAGCCCGCAGTACGGTTCATTTTAACGAAAAATCATATTTTTACCCTAAAAAGTCAAATTTAGTACTATTTATTTTACCATTTATTTTGTCCTTATCCTTAAAATTCAAAGTTTTTAAACCCTTTTTATTAGTTTTCTTTAAAAAACAAAAAAAGGTGAAATCTCTGCGAGTTGTTTGTGAGTTGCCAAGCACATATCCACCTCTAACTAAGCTTAACAAGGAAAAGAAAAAGAAAATTAAATTAATCAAATTGTAACTACATGGAAAATAATTTCAATAAACCAAAAAAAAAAAAAAAATTGATGAATGGTTCCCTGCTCTTGTTTTGTTGGTGGTGTGTTATAATAAAGGGACAAGGATTGTCTGCCCTTCCGTGCCCTCCTGTTTGTGTGGTCGCGGTTAAGCCACGTTAACATTTTATATTACTATTCATTTTTGTCTTATTATTTATATAAAAAATAAATATAAAATATTGACGTGATTTAACCGTGATCACACAAAATAAAAGGACACAGAAGAGCATCATAAGTGAGAGGGCAGACAATCCTTGTCCATAATAAAGGCCATGTATGTCTAATCTGAGCATTCTATGAATGAATAGAGCTGATGTGTATCAAAGTATAAAGGGTAAAATAAATAAAAAAAGCAAGATGGCAGGCACATGAGATGGTAGACGCAAAATGGACATTTAAGATATCCGCGGTCATTTTGTCTGATTTTCCACTGCTTCTTTGAGACTTTCATGATCATTTTTATTATTTTTAATTATCTACCGCTGTTTTGACTTCTCTTCCCTACGTTGTGCGTCAAAATTACGTATGTACCGGCTTTTGTACGACGAAATTATTCTTCTTCTATTTCATTAATTTATTGTAACCTCGCTTATATAATCCAAAAACTCAAACCTTTAGCTGTATCTCGCTCTCCACGTACTATCACTCTCTCCTTCTCTGCACAACAAAATGAAACGTTTTATTGCAAATAAAATCGAACTCCTCAATGCTCTGATAATCGCCATTGACCGTGATCATCCCAATGGCGAACCAGACCTAGAAGCCGCAGTGCCGCAAGTTCCAGATCGGAGGACGTACGATAAGTTCCCAACCAACAACTTAGAATGGGCAAAGATAATCGTTGGGTTTTGCTTGACAGCAGCGATCGAATTAGCGCTTATCCGCTTCCAAATTCCTCATGGCCAACTCCCTTTTCCTGTGATCTTTGACCTTCTTGGACTATCAATCTTATTTGCCTTCACTTGTATCTTTGTGAGCAAATCCATTCACTTTAGGTACTCGCTCGCCGGAATATCAATAGCCGGCCTTTGTCATTATTTTGGCCTCTTCTTTGGGGTCACATCCTTTTTTATATCCATCACCATCCCATTTCCTTTGTGGTTCAAATGTGCTACCTATTCTATTTACGTCGCCGCCTTCCTCCTTGTAGTTTTCTGCAATCTTCACTTCAATAAATATTACAAACCTAGTGGTTTTGAGTACCCTACCCCAAACAATTCAATTCCTACAACCGCCATTGATCTTGCGGTAGAATCAAGCCGAGGTGGTACTAGTACTGTTAATGATCAAGCATGCATCAGCATTATTGTTTGACTTGAAAGAACTCTCTCATGTAACAAGGATGCATCTATCTAGATATATAAATCCAGACTCGTGCCCTGCAGTACTGGTGACCAAATATGTACAACTACTATATATAGAATAGCAAGATATACTCCTCAGATTTGGGGATCTCATATTTGTTGTAAGTTTCACTATCCAAGTGTAATTTTGTTGTTTGGGCTTTAGTTGTCTGCAGCTTCTCACTATTGCTATGTTGTATCAATCGTGTTTAATCCATTTGTTACTTCTATATATTTCATCTTCTTTTAGTGAAAGAAATTATGTCCACCAGTGATTGTCCACAACATTGTGATGTATTTTAACTATTCAAATGCCAAAATTGAAGCGGTTAAATGCTTGTTTGGCAATACTTTTTAAATAACTGAAAATGTATTTGGTGAAAAATATTTTTGAAATTATTTTTTCAATAAAAATCTAAGTGGATGCGGAAAAAACACTTTAATAATTTTGGTCCAAAATCAATTTTACTAAAACACTTTCAATCATTTTAAAAACACTTTCAAATCATCATTAATTTTTTTAAGTATTTAATAAAACACATGAGAACAAAAAGTTAAGGGAAGTCCATAAAACACGTGTATTTACGTTTTGATTTTTATGTAACAACTATAATACAAGTGGCTTTATATATCTATATATTCGATACTACTGGCTCTGTTGAGAGAAGTCTCTTTGTAAGACAATAAAAACATAATTTTACAAGTCTAAATAAAAAAATCTCCATATAAAAAAGGTACGGAAACAAAAATTCAAAAGCAAAAATAAGTAAATAACACGAAAATAGAGTAAAATAGCATGGAAATTATTATTTTCTCCAGGTAAAACCACTTTCATGAACCAAAAAAAATTAAAGAATCCACGTATCTCCAAGTTGTCAGTAGGCAACAACAATTAGTACACTTACACGAAATTAATTTCTCTTTTCGAGTTATAATATTATAAACAGAATAATAAGCACTTTGATCATTATGTATATGAACTTCTCGTCAACTACTAGTAATACGTAATATTAAGCCATATAATATTCACGAAATTAATATGTTGTTGCTCTTATTACAACTTTCTATTAACTCTCAACATACATTCGGCGTATGTTTGCACAACTATAACACTTATTTATGGTAAATTGGTAATTAATATTATACAAATAGGAAAAGAAAGTCAAAATGCAAACAAAATTAGATCCAAACACACCGAAAAGTCACCCCCGCAACCAAACACCCCCCAAAGTCCTTACGCTCCAAAACCAAGCGTCACCTCAAAATTCAAACCCCACTTTCCAAATTTCCCGTTTTCCCGCCCACACACCGCGCACTTCCCACTCCATAATTTCACGGCCCACTATAAAACATAGGGAACTTTAACGAAAAGCACCCGGTACTGTTCACTTTAACGAAAAACCACATTTTTACACTAAAAAGTCAATCCTGGTACTATTCACTTTACCCTTTATTTTGTCCTTATCATTAAAACTCAAAGTTTTCAAGCCCTTTTCATTAGTTTTCCTTAAAACATAACCCCAATCCAATACACCGTCTTCTCCGGCTGTTCAGCCTCTCTCCGCCGTAAGCAGATTGGCGTACAAGCGGAAGTCGAAGGCCGGAACCTCTTCAGGTTCTCCGCCGAAATCGAAGAGCCCAAGGCAAACCAAGAAGGCCAGAGTTGAGGAGGAGGTCGCCACGAGTGTGGAAAAAGCTACTTCTCCGCCGAAATCGAAGAAGACTAGGCAAACCAAGAAGGTGAGAGTTGAAGAGGAGGTAGCAACGAGTGTGGAAAAATTTACTTCTCCGCTGAAATCGAAGAGCCCGAGGCTAACCAGGAGTGCGAGAGTTGAAGAGGAGGTAGCAACGAGTGTGGAAAAAGCTGCTTCTCCACCGAAAACGAAGAACACGAGGCAAACTAGGAAGGCGAGAGTTGAAGAGGAGGTAGCTTCAAGTGTTGAAAAAGCTGCTTCTCCGCTGAAATCGAAGAAGACGAGGCAAACCAAGGAGGGAGGAGTTGAAGAGGAGGTTGCGATGAGTGTGGAAAAATTTGCTTATTCTCCGAAATCGAAGAATCCAAGGGAAACAAAAAATGCGAGGGTTGAAGAGGAGGTAGCGATGAGTGGAAAAATCTGCTTCTCCTCTGAAGTTGAAGAATCTGAGAAGACGAGAGTTGAAGAGGGGGTAGCAACAAGTATGGAAAAAGCTGCTTCTCCGCTGAGGAAGCCAGTGACTCAGGAGTTAGCTGCGGCTGATGAAGACGGAGAGGAATCGAGGTTTATTGGCAAACCGATGGAGGATAAGGAGGCTCATAATCAATACCCCAAGAGATATGTCGGAGAGGTGAGAAATTTTGTTTCAAGATTTTTTTTTATAGAATTTAGTTTGTAATTTGTGAAAATGTTGGAGATTTAGGTGTTATAGATGATCAAATATTGTGAACTTCAAGGATAAGTGGTATATGATAAGACAAATAAATGGGCTTTAGAATCTTTGTGTTTCCAAGATTTAATGTAGCTGTAACATTTGTGGTAAGATTAATTCTTTACCCATTTCCTAAATTCGTATGATTTTTACCTCTCGGCGTTGTGTAACATGGTATCGAAGCTTTGGTTTCAATAATTTTTGTGTTTTAAGATTTCAACCTTGGTTTTACAGTTCTTTGTAGGATAAGCATAATGTTAAAAAACCTTGATTTTACAGTCCTATGTTGGATTTGCATAATGTTAACACGAGGGACGAATCTTGTGGTGGTGGCAGGGCGGGGTGTGAAACCCTCCCTCCCTTCTATCTGCCTCCTGTCCAATAAAATGTATATGAAGCGGGAAAAATTCTTGTGTTTTAACAGGTTGGTTACTCCAAGTAATCCTTTTGTGTTTTAACAGGTTGGTTACTGGTTGTTTGTTTGTTTGTTTTCTGATTGGATTTTTATGTTCAAAATAATTGAAAACAGTGATGAAGATATAATTCAAGCTCGTCGTCATTGGTTGATGGAATCACTTATGATCTGTATGATGATGCCCATGTGCAAGTGAGTTTTCATGATTAGTTGTTTGGCAGTAATACATATAGAAACACTCACAAGTAATAAGTAAGACTAGGTTAATTGGTCGTCTACATTATGTGATTGTGTAATCATAATTGTTTCCTTATTGCAACACCACAAAAATTGGGAAATTTGGAAAAATAACCAAATTTTAGACCCTATATAGAATTATAGCCACCATATTAATTTTATGATAATTATAACCAAAACTTGATGTAAAAGTACTAATATACCCTTAATATTAGGGTTTCTCACAACAATCAAAACAAACCTTTAAACTATCCTAAAATGAAAAATTAATCTTCATCACTTTTTTGTTTTCACTGTTCACTTTGCATATGCAATTTCGTATTCTTTCTTTATCCACTGGAAAAATATATTGGAATATATGCAATTTAGTCAGTGAAACACTAAATCCAAGTATCTAATTACAAAAATAATAATTAGCTATGGAATTAGTACCTTCTGAAGAACATTCTCATAGGTTGTCTTGCTAATTAAAGAGAAAGTTAATTCAGTGGCTTCAATCTGCAGTAATCCTCAACATTTTAAGGTAGTTTAAGGGTTGTGTTGTGGTTGTTATGAGAAACCCTAGTATTAAGGGTATATTAATACTTTTACATCAAGTTTTGGTTATAATTATCATAAAATTAAAATGGTGGTTATAATTCTATATGAGATCTAAAATTTGGTTATTTTTCCAAATTTCCCACAAAAATTAGCAAAGTCAATAATTTGAAGATTTAGTTTTGCTCACATTAGTGTTTTATTGGATTTATATCACATGGCAACTGATTTTTGCCTTCTTAGAAAACTTACTTTACCATTTACCAGTATGGATGGAATACGAAAGTGATGTATATTTTTTGTAACCTCTTAGTTGTTTTGAGTGATTTGACGTCTTAACTTTGACAAAAAAACTAAATTGAAATAACAGGTAATGCTAGGAAGATCATCTATTTAAATCATATGTTGTGAATTATATGACATGGTTGTTGATGATTGTATTATTACTTAAATGTTGATTGCTAATATCAAAATAACTTTTTGACCAATTTTCTTCTCATCAATCCATCTGCTTATCTCCATGTTGTAATCCCCAAATTATATGATTCCTGACATGCCAATTCATTGCAAATTTCACATAAATGGTTCTTTTCCACAACATAAGGGTTATATTTATATAATTTGATGTGCTATATTTCAAAGTCGAAACATACTCAACTGAAATGTTGGGTGTAGTGAGTGATTCATGTGGACAAAATGTTTTTATGTACTTTTGTTATATTTGCCTATTATGTGATTTGACAATGTTTCCAGTTCATTTTTATGTTTAGGGAGAGACGAAAGAACCCTACATTTGTAAGATTGTGGAAATGTTTGAGACAATTGGTGGGCTATTATATTGTACTGCACAATGGTACTATAGATCACGAGACACTAAGATATTTCGAAAGAAACCTTTTCATGATTCTCTTTCCAAATACTTTGTTCCATGGTTTTTTGTTACGTTAAAAAGAAAGAATCCTGCTATCGGTCGCTGAATTATTAGTTTTTTGCTTTGTTGCAGGTCATAAAGCACTGTGCTACTGTTGTATGTGGACGTGTATTCTTTTCAGATGTCCGAGATGACAACCCTCTGGATTGTCTTGTTTAAAAACTTCATATTGTTAGGCTGACACTAGATGTATGCTTGAAGTTTCCATATTCATGCCTTTTTTGTTGTTCATGAAGTCCAACATGAATAAGTTATCCTTTTTCTCTCAGGTCGATCAAGATGTGAAGAGTAAATCAATTCGACACCAAGTATTTGCTACCATATTCTACTTTTGTCAATCTGCTAACAGGTTATTGATCTCTTTCTACTTACTGTCATGATGCTGGTGTTTTCTTTCTTTCGTTTGGAAGGCTCCTATGTGTTCACATGTTATTCCTGGTTTTGAAATTTCAGAAGATATGCAGTCTGGAAGTTGAGTCACAATCAACTCTCTGTTGAGAATGATGTTTGTTTGGATAGTGAGGTTGATTCAAAGCTGTCAAATGGAGTGTGTGCCAAATCACAAGTAACATGTGAACACAATTCAACTTTGCCAATATTTAATCCGCCACCCTACTTTTTAAGTAGTTTCCAATTGGTATGTGCATGTTTTGTATCATCCATTTTCCCAATATTTGATCCATCATCCTACTTTTTAAGCATCGTTACTTTGAAAAGTTGTTGAAGGAAATGTTATAATATTTCATTCACCTCGGGTTCTTCGGATGCCAAAATAATATTTTATCGGCCATCATATATTGTAATTGAACTAATTCCCTCTCGTTCAATTCTGGGGTTGTCTTTGAAAATATTTCAATTTTGAGGGATGCTACATAATATCTCTTAAAACCCAAATAACTGAAAATATGTCTTTGAAAATGGTGTTAGAAATAATTAATTAATTATTGGGTTTGCTTATATTAATTACCAGGTAAGTTCCTACACCCATGGGAAGAAAAGAACTTAAGAAGTATAGTGCTGATACTTTGTTATCTGAAGTTTCTTGTCCTATATTGACATCACCCTTGAATATCATCGTCTTTGACAGTGACCGTAGTTAGTGGCTTACATTCCAAAATCAATTTTATAGACAATTAATTCTATCGTATCCGAAGTTTCTTTTAATTTTATAGACAATCAACCAAAAACTATTCTAAAAATATGAGTGACCGTATTAGTTCAATTATAATATGATAGCAAACATATTATATTACTAATTGGTCGATAGCAAACATATTATATTGTTGAACTAGTTAGTCAATTATAATATGGTAGCAAACATATTATATTGTTGACCTTATTAGTTCAATTATAATATTGTAAAGAAGACACCAAGCTATTCAGTATTACAGTTTGGTGATATTTTTTTCATTTAAAAGTGAGAGGTTTTAGGTTTGAATATCGTGGATAACGAATTCGATACTAAATTAGGTTGCCCATTGTGTAGTTTAATTAAACTTTCAATTCTAATTTAAATTATTTATTGTATGGTTTAGCTAAATTCCCCGTTCGTGTAGTATAGAAATATATTGTTAAACTTAAAATAAATAAAAAATTATGAAAGCAAGCATAAGTTTGCTTTTTTAAATTACTAGGTAAGTTCCCAGACTTCCGACATTTCTCTCCTTGCCTGTATATATATCTGCATGCACACCATTTCCTGAGCATTCAAATACTCTTCCATTCAATACTCTTGCCTGTCTATATATCTGCATGCACACCTTTTCTGAGTTTTCTCCTTGCAGTTACAGTAACGCCAACCCAACGGCTCAAACTGCTGGTAATTGGTCCCATTGATCGAGATCGCGATTCCGATCGTGACCTAGAAGCGGCAAGGCAAGAAGTTGCAGACGGGAGGACTAACAATAATTACGACAACAACAACTTAGACTGGGCAACAATAATCGTATTGTTTTGCTTGACAGCGACGATTGGAATAGCACTTCTTCCCTTCCAAGGTCCCTCCGGAGAGCTCTATCTCCCTGTAATCTTTTACTTTCTTGGATTCTCAGTCTTACTTGCCTTCACTTGTATCTTGGTAAGCAAGTTTATTCACTTTAGCTACTGTCCCACCGAAATAATAATCGCCCCGATTTTCCTTCAATTTGGCCTCTTCTTTGGGGTCACAGCCTTCTTCATATCCATTTCCATACTATTTCCTTTGTGGTTCAAATGTGCTGCCTTGTCTATCTACGTCGTCACCTTCCTCCTTGTATTTCTCTGCAATCTTTACTTCAATATATATTACAAAACTCATGGTTTTAAGTACCTTACCCGCGCCATTGATCCTGCGGCAGAATCATGCGGAGGCAGTGCTAGCATCGTTGATGATCAAGCATGCACCAGTAGTATTGAGTGACGTGAAAAAATTATCATGTAACAAGGATGTGTGTGTGTATACACACACATTTTCTGATTAGTGCACTGTAGTACTAGGTGTTTTCCTCATATTTGTCGTAGGTTTTTCGAATGTCAACCGTTGTTTATTCTGTTTGGCGTTTAGTTGTCTCAAGCCTCTCACTGATGCTATGTTTCAACAAATCTAGTTACTTAATTTGCTACTTCTATATATTTCTTTTAGTGAAAGTATTTGTGTCCACCATTCGTAAGTGTTTAGAGTTATCGAACTTCTATATATTTCTTAAAAAATAAAAAATAAAAAATAAAAGTCGTCCAAACAGAGAGAAAACGTGGAATACAGCAAACCAACTCGCATCCCTACCATACAAAAACATGTGAGAGAATTCAGTTTTGAAGCCTGCACGCGCCATGGCATACAGCAAACCAACTCGCATGGCTGCAATCTTAGTTGCTCAATATTTCCTTGAGAAATACTAAGAGAATTCTCTTAAAAATGGGACTTTCTATGGACTTCCTGTCACTTCATATTTTTTGCATAATATATTCCAGCAATTAGAATGTACATGGTTCCCAAAATGTCTGTGGTTTATATTTGAATGTACCATCGTTAGTTGTTCAAAAAAATGTACCATCTTAAGAGTTATTTTCAGGAACTCTTAAATTTTATTGCAACCTGTTTGAATTCATGAACTCTTAAATTTTAGTTCGAATGTTTTTTTTTTTTTTTGTTTTTTATGTTTGTATCAATATTTTCAATTAGTATCAAATAAATCTTCATCATTTCACCAAAAAAATGTCATTATACGCCAATAATTTTCTAGAGTGGCATTATTATAATAGCATTGTTGTGTATATGTGGACTTTTCCATTTTTCATCTTCTTTTAACAAAATTTTCATAAAAAAAAAGGTAAATTCATAATTATTTGGTTGATATTTACTTTGATAACCAGATAGTTTCCAACTTAATTTTTTTTTTAAGTCAACGATCACAGTGAGGATTTTCTACACTATGTTTGGATGAGAGAAATAAAATTAGAATTCGGATAAAGTCAGAATTTATAAATTGACATGCACCAATTCCCTTACTTGAATTCATAAACATAGAAATTTAGAGTTTCCGCGTGGAAAAAAAAAACTTGGAATTTGAAATCTCCAATTATCAAGTTTAAATTCCATGTAAATATGTGTCATTTCCTAATTTCTATAATTGAGAGTTTAAAACTAACAAATTATGTATTTAATTCTATTGTTCTTTTAGGTTAACCAAACAAGAAAATTCACAAATTCTAGAAAATAAAATCTTGTCATTTCAATTATCGTCATTTTAAAATCATTAATAATTTTAAATTTCTTCATCCAAACATAATATTAAAGTAGATCATACTGTGAATTTTGAAATAAATTCCACTAATCTCTAATAACAGAGGGCAATTGAAGCCAGCCAGCCAATCCGCTGATGGGGCCCAACCTGCAGCAACTGATGTCATGTAGTCGTTGGATTTTTTTTTTAAGGACGAAATTTAAATAAAAAAAATAATTCTAATTTTTTTCTTCTATAAATACCTAAACCATTTCTACACCACCATTCCTCACATTATTTCCACCATTCCATACTATTTTACCTCATTTTATTTCAATTCTTCACATTCTATTCTCTTATCTCTTCCGATAATCTTTCCTTTAATTTTTTCAATAATTTTCAAATGGCCGCATCTTCAACTGAAGGAAAGGCTTGGACCCAATAAGTTGTTGTAATCTTTAATATTTTTTTTTGAACAAACAATATTATCTATACTAAAGGGAAGATGATGGGCTTAGCCTCATAATGAGCTTGTAATAGTGTGGTTCAAACTCGCATTTGGAGAGAATCGAACCTCAGACCTCTCACTTACAAGTGAAGAGGAATACCACTTGTAATCTTTAATATTTAAGTTGTTAAAGTTTTAAGGATTCTTTAGATATAGACCATTGCAACTCTTATTTTCTAAATAAAAACCACCTAATTCTAAACATCCAAATAAAATCTAAATTTGAAAAAAACTACCAAATAAAAAAGTAATTGACCTATTATTACAAAATATTTACAACTTGTGTCACAATATTCAAATCAAATCAATATTATTATTACTTACCTTAATTATAATGAACAAATAATTATTGCACATATTATTACCTGTCACATCACGGCTCGGGCCCCCACCATATCCCGGGCTCGACTCCACCGTAGCACGATATTGTCCGCTTTGGGCCCCTACCACGCCCTCACGTTTTTGTTACTAGGCCCGGGCCAGGATGTGACATTACCCCTAACAAATATATATATATATATATATATATATATATATATATATATATAACTTTTAAACGTATGTATATTTTTAGCAGTACTATATACTTTTGAACGTGTGTGTGTGTGTATATATGTAATCTACCTATACTACTGTACGTTCAAAAGTATATTTAAAATGTCATAATCTTTGATATTTAAGTTGTTGTAGTTTTAATTTTTAAGATGTTGTATTTCAGTTAAGTTGTATTCCAATTAAAGTGTGATCTTAGAATTAATGTCTAAGTTGTTAACATGCAAGTTAAATTAACCAATTACATCTTGACATGTGTCACTTAAAAATCATATCTGAAAAATTATTAAGAACAAACTTAATATGGTAGTTTAATTCAATTAACTAATAAAGTTAAAGAACAAACTTAAAAATAATAAATTATTGAGGGGGCAAAAAATAGACCCCTTCGGTTAAAGATGATATATAAAATGATCTGACACTATTCATTAAAAAATAATTTCTTACAGGACTATAATCTGAACGAAAACTAAATATACCTCCTTCAATTGAAGATGGTCTTATCTCTTTTGTTTTCCTACTTGGCCGAGCAGGCTACTCCTTTGCAGCAGAACCATTGATCTCTTTTGGTACAAAAATGATTCTTTGGGACGTCAGGGTGTGTGCTCACCCACACAATGCCCTCTTTCGATATAGATATGTAATATATGCATTGGGGCAGCTATGATTGCGTTAATATGATTGCGTCAATATGGTTGCGTCACCTATCATTGATCAATATTGCGTCAATATGGTTGCGTCACCTATCATTGATCAATATGGATTGCGTCCATATGATTGCGTCACTATGATTGCGTCCATATGATTGCGTCACTATGATTGCGTCAATATGGTTGCGTCACCTATCATTGATCAATATGGATTGCGTCCATATGATTGCGTCACTATGATTGCGTCAATATGGTTGCGTCACCTATCATTGATCAATATGGATTATTTAGCAACACGCATAGCAGCATAAGGAGCCCGTAGTTGAAAACCTTATAAAGCAAATGTTATAATAGTTGCATTCAGACCCCTACCATTGTGATTTAGCTTTGTCCCGTTCAATTCTTAAAAAATACCATTTGAAAATAGGGAACTTTAATAAAAAGGGCTTAGACTAAGTTTATTTTAACAAAAAACCATGCTATAAACTTTATTTAATGAAAAAGAATTAAATTTTAATGAAAACCCTTTAAATTTTAATAAAAATGACAAAAAAACTTAATTTTTAACGAAAAATGACACAATTTAAAAAAAAAAAACCTGCCTTGCGCGCAGTACATGTACACTGTTTATGAAACTGAACACTGTTTATAAAACTGAATATTATTTATGAAACTGCACTGTTTATGAAACTAAACGGTACTATACTATTTATTGGTTCAATTTCATAAATAGTGTCTAGTTTTTGTCCACTTTCATAAAATGATGTCTAATTCTTGATCATGTTTCATAAATAATGCTTAGTTATTGGATCCAGTTTAATAAATAATGTATGGTAATTGGTAACATTTCATTAATAGTGTCTCTTTCTTGGTCCGGTTTCATAAATAGTGTCTAGTTATTGGTCAACTTTCATAAATAGTGCCTATTTTTTTGGTCATAATTCATAAATATTGTCTAGTTCTTACCAGTTTCATAAATAGTGTATAGTCTAGTGTTCAAATTATGCCTAATTCTTGTTTTCGTTTCATAAATAATGTTTACTTATTGATCCAGTTTCATTAATAGTGTCTACTTATTGGTGAAGTTTTATAAATAGTGTTTAATTATTGGTTTAGTTTTATAAGGTTTGAAACTTAGACCCTTATTGGTCAAGTTTTATAAATAGTGTTTAATTCTCAGTAATTATATTTAAAAAGCTGTTTTCAATTACCAAATTAAAATTTCCTCACTTTTTTCATATACCTACAATAATAAATGTAGCTTTCCATCCAATTTCTTGAGCTTAGTGTCATCTTCGAGAAATTTTTCCTTGTGCCCGTAACACAAATGATATACCACATGTTATTATACAAGTGTGGTGGAAAATTTTATTTTTTATGTTATTAATTTTTTAACACAAGATTCTTACAACTTGTATGAAGTGTATCATCCCGTGTTCTGGGCACATTGAAAAGTTTTTCATCATCATGACTACTATTAGAAAACAACACCACAAAAATAAAACAGGAGAATGTAATTCAATTCGAAGTTTTTTTTTATTCTATGCCAAAAAAAAAATGTTAGTGTAGCTGAATGATGGGACAAAAGGTAGGAGAAAAAAAGTGGACTGGGGGGTGCGGGGTACGCGCCCAGCACTGGGTTTGTTATGTTTTTTTTTTTGAGTCTTTTGTCCTTATTATTAAAATAAAGTTAATGGGTTGTTTTTTATTAAAATGTAAATATTTGAATCCCTTTTCATTAGTTTTCATTTGAAAATATTGTTTTCTCAGCTAGAAGGAGAACGGTTGTGAGGTCCGAGAATCTTTGATAGTTCTGTTTTCTGTATTGCTGTTTAAGCACAATGTTTGAGGCGTTAAAGTTGGAATAGGTGTTCTTTAGCAGCTCGGAATCGGTGAGTTCCTGACTACAGAACTTCAAAATCGACCAAATTCGGAAGACTTCAGAGACATACTCATCGACACGCTTAAAGTCCTAAAAGCGGACATTGTGCCAATCGTTCTTGAGTCAGAAACTCAGTAGGGTTTTCCATAAAGACTTCAGGTTCTCCTTAACCAGAAATTCAGTGTGCATGACTTCCCCTGTTGGAACCCAATTCACACACCACCATAAATGGTGGTTGAGCACAAACTCGAGCAACTTGCAAAACAGTAAACAACCATGAGCAAGACGCAATGGGCAAGAAAATTGAAGTGCTTAGATTGCATTACCATATATGAACCTTAGATGGATGTATTTATACCGTGGTGGAGAGAGACATTTTTAGGATAAAATCCTTGTCCTAAACTAGGAGAATCCTTGAGGATATCTAGAAGTAGATATTGCACCCTCTTAGGAGTTGTGATTACTTGCAGCACACGCCTATTCCTAAATTGTAGGAACTCAAAGACTTATAGGATTTGATTGTATCTATATCCATCAAATCGTGTGTCGTGTCAAACAAAGTGATGGTGGCACCACCGCTTTGTTTGATATAGCTCCGACCGGAGTTGGTGAGTCCATGATCGAACTTTTGATACAACTGTATTCAGATCAACCTTACTCCGGCCCTGGAAAATCATGGTCCCATAATTTCCCCTAACCATTCATCTGAGAGGTAACTTTTTCCCCTTGAGGATGAATTGTTATCCAAAGACATTTCGAAGTAAGCTGGAATACGTACGGTTTAGTCTTTAGTTTCTTGTCCGCTGGTATGACTCCTTGTGATGTAATAGAGACACTTTAGATTCAAACGTGCAATCTCAAATGTTATACCATAAAGTCTGCAATGATGGAACTTTGTGTTTATTATGTGTACTTTAAAAAACAAGAAATTACCCTTGATACTCTTGACTGATGTTTAACCATGAGATTCGTTGATCTAAAAAGAGTCGGTTTGCGTTTAGTTGGAATATACTGCTAATTTTATTTTACTCAAATCATTAAAACTGTTAGAGTAAAACACTTGGAACCTTTCATCCTTGGCTTCAATTTATCAATCTTTCCAAAGTAAGCTAACTTCGAAGTAATGAGTACTGCTAATCTTATTTTACTCAAATCATTAAGACTGTTAGAGTAAAACACTTGGAACCTTTCATCCTTGGCTTCAATTCATCAATCTTTCCAAAGTAAGCTAACTTCGAAGTAATGAGTACTGAGGCGAAACACAGATAAGTTTGTGGGCCTATGACAAAGCTCAAGAGCCTCGCTCGGTGACATTGATTCAAAAAAATGTCACCTCCCAAACTTAGTGTTTATAAAGATTCCCATCGCAATATCCGGAGTACCACCTCACTCATGTACCAAGTATTAAATATTAAACCCATAGAAAACCTTTTGCCTTAGACTTGCGGTAATGCACTGAACGAATTAAGGATGAGCAAGTGTCGAATCATACCCGAAAAGGCCTCCACAGTTTAATGTCAGTCTGATATGTTTTAGTTGTCTTGTTTGTTGATTCCGTTTGTTCTTTCACCTTGCCCTTATTTTAGGTCAAAGGATTTT